TCCCGCCAGCTCCTTTCTCTCTGACTTGGAGCCCCCAGAACTGTGACAGAGAACACTGCTGTTGTCTGAAGGCACCCAGTGTGGGGTGCTCTGCTCTGGTGGCCCTAATAAAACAAGCACTTTCATCTGGGCAAAAATAAAAGTCTCTGGTTGTGCTCTTCTTCCGACTTCCGGAGCTCTCCTCTCTGCTTCCTGTGAGCCTCTCTCCACTTCCTGCGTCCTGTGACCCTCCAACAACCCCCTCCCCACCCCAACTTGTCTGCACCCACACCCAACCTTACCGCTTCTCTCCAGCCTCAGAGACTTGGAGGAGGAGGAGGAGGCGTTTTACCCCTTGTTCAGTGTCAACCTTCCACTACCTTCTCAAGAGGCCCTTCCACCCCTCAGTCTCTCTCCCCCTGGCTTATCCCTGGATCCCAAGTGCTCTCTCCTCCTGGTCCCTCATCTGTTCCCTGGTCCCAATCAGACCTCTGACTCCGCCAACCAGCTCCGCTGAGGTCATCAGTCAACATCAAGTGACACTTTTTGCCCTTCTCCTCCTTGAGCTCCTCAGGCTCTGGCCTGTGTGAACTGGTTCCTCCTGCTTGAACCTGCCCTCTCCTGGCCTCTGGAGACCCTTAGGGCTTTTCCTGGTTTCCTTTTGCTCATCTGTCTTACCTCTAATCCATGCTTCTATGCTGCTGTTTCCCAGAGGTTCTGTTCTTTCTAGTCTACAACCTCGTGGGTAATCTCATTCACACCCGTAGATTGAACCCAGGGCCACCTTACCACGGAGCCACATCCCCAGCCCTTTCTAGTTTTTATTTTGAGACAGGGTCTCACTGAGTTGCTTAGGGCTTCACTAAGATGCTGAGGCTGGCCTCAAACATGATCCTCCTGCCTCAGCCTCCCTAGTCACTGGGGTTATAGCTGTGCATCACCGTGCATAGTTTTAAAGTTCCCCATATGGAGAAAGGACGGGTGGAGATGTGGAGGCTAGATCAAGCAGCCCTTCCTTGGAACTTCGCAAATATTTACCAGTATCTTTCCATTGTTGTTTAAGTTTCTTTAAATGGAGCCTTTTGTTGTCTGTAGCTAAGAGTCTCATTTGGTATGGCAACCTCCACTTCTAATGCTGTGTCATAGCTCTACCTCAGAACCGTCTCTCTGCCTGTCCCAATCACACTTCTCTACTCCCGAAAGGGAGAAGGATTTTTCTTTCTTTTCCTTTTTTCTTTCTGGTGCTGGGGGTTGAACCCAGAGTCCCAAGAGCATGCAATTACACCCGCACCATGAGGAGTGTTTATAAAGCTTCTCTTCTCCCACCTCCCAAACAAGTCGTATTACCTTCTCCCTGCAGCAGAGCTTTTCTCCTAAGTCAGTCATTCTCTGTAGAATAAGGCAGATTTGATTTTTAGTCCCCGAAACAGGTGGAAAGGTGAGAAAACCCAAAATGTAAATTTGGGGAGTGCTCCCGGGGAGGGTGCTGCAATGAATTATCCACAAGTTAGTGGTTTAAAGTGACAGAAATGTATTCTCTTAGGGCTCTGGAGGCCAGAGTCTGAAATCGAGCTGGCAGCAGGTCAATCCCTCTGAAGGCTCTAGGGGAGAATCCTTCCATCCCTTCCTCTTCTGGGAGCGCCAGGCATTCCTTGGCTTGTGACAGCACCACTCCAGTCTCTGCCGCTCTTTGTGGACTTCGCCTCTGCACGTGTCCCCGAGTCTTCTCCCCTGGTGTCTCACAGTTCTGAGTATTTCAGAAAATATGTGGCAATGGAAGGATGCTTGAAGCTGGATTTAGGTCGCACCTCATCAATCCAGGATGTTTTCAAGTTGGAATCCTTAATTATATCTGGAAAGCCTTTTTTTTCTTTCTTTCTTTCTTTTTTGTTTTTTGATGGGTTTCGGGGTGGATATTAGAGATTTAACCCAGGGCCATTTACCACTGAGCCATGTCCCCAACCTCCCCCCCCTTTTTTCCCACTGTACTGGGGATTGAACTCAGGGGCATTCGACCACCACACAAGCTACATTCCCAGCCCTCTTTTGCATTTTATTTAGAGACAAGGTCTCACTGAGTTGCTTACCGCCTCACCATTGCTGAGGCTGGCTTTGAACTTGCCATCCTCCTGTCTCAGCCTCCCAAGCCGCTGGCTCCCCAACCCTTTTTATTTTTATTTATTTTTTTTTGTTTTAAGACAAGGTCTTACTAAGTTGCTCAGGGTCTTGCCAAGTTGCTGAGGCTGGCTTTGATCTTCCGATTTTCCTGCCTCAGCCTCCCAGTCTCTGGGATTGCAGGCATGTGCCATGGAACCTGGCCAAGACCTTTTTCCAAAAATGGTCACCTTCACAGGCTCTGGGTGGACATCTCTTTCGGGGGGCACTCTTCAGCCCACAACAGGCACTGTACTACACAAATGGCCTCCAGGGACCCTCTACCAGGATCCCGGATCGCCCCCTTATCATTTCTTGGCTGGCTTATCCTAAATCATGCCCTTTTGCCCCACCTGCTGTTCTCTAGTCTGTCCCTTGGGCCACACTGGGATGCTCTTTCTGCAATGTGGGACAGATCACCTCACAGCCCTGCTTAAAAAGCATGGTCCTAAAATGCAAGACCACAGTCCTGAGTATTTCAGAAAATATGTGGTAATGGAAACATTTCCCAGCTTTCAAACGATAGAGAATCAGCTCCAATTTGTAGATTAGAGCAATTTAAATGCATTCATCTGGGCCATGTCTGTGCATAACCTCCCACTCTGACGCCTGAATTAATGAATTAATATCAGGGCTCCAGGTTCTATCCAGCTGCTTTATCTAATTGGATGTGAATTAAGTATGCATACTCAGTAAAGTGAATTTGGAAGCTCCACAGTTCCTCAGAGGAAATAAACTTCCAAATGGCCAACCCGTTCCCTTCGACCCTAGCGTTAGATGATTTTCTTAAATTTCCCACACTTCATCACAGATTGAGAATGCAGAACTCCCACCATTAGTGGACTAGCACCAGGGCAAGAGATGGTTAGTCCAGGCCCAAACTCAATTCACTTGAGACCGTGCAGACCTGCTTTACTTCTGCAAATGCACAAAATGAAATTGAAATGAATAATATTCTGTCAAGCTATCGGATTGGTCCTTATAAAATACTAATCCTCAAGGATGCACTAGACATCACCTGTTGGACTACTTAGATTTCCAAAATCACTAAACAGATGACCAAAGTTTCTAATGGTGATTCATGAGCCATCACCATTGGGAAGCAAATTGTGTTTTAAAGAATCTAATTGTATCCCTGGAGCTTAAGACAATAAAGGATTAAGACATGAACCAGAAAGTCTCAAAGTTATCACCAAGTTGAGTCTTTCTTTTTGGGTCTATCCGAGGCAATGTGGCCAGATTCCTGGCAGGACCATGCCCAGGACTGAGCTCTTTATCATGTACCACTACAGCTCAGCATTTGCCTTGAAATCTCCTGAGATAGCAAATGACAGAAATTGAACTCAATCTGGAATAATGTAAAGGAGTGTTTCTCTTGGCTCAGTAATTGAGAAGCTTAGGGAATGGTTTGGCTTTAGTCCTGATCGAAACCAGGGGCTTAAACAAATATTGTCAGAACACGGCTGCTTCTCCACCTCTCCCTCTCCTCTCTTTTCTCATGGTGCCTCTCGCCAAGTGGTACCTGGCAGGTTGCAGGCTTACGTCCTAGCAACTCAGCAACCTCAGTGGAAAAACTAGTACAAGCATCCCTTGGCACTCATAGGGATTGGCTGCAAGAGGCCCCCACCAGGATGCCAAGATCTTCAGAAGCTCAAATTCCTTATATAAAAAGTGTAGCATTTGCTTATAACCCATGCACTTCTCCTGTGTGGTTTTAGTTGTTTGTTTTTGCAGTACTGGGGATTGTACTCAGGGGTGCTTTCCCATTGAGCCACATCCCTAACCCTTTTCAGTTTTTTTAATGAGATGGGGTCTCACTAAGTTGCTGAGTCTGCCCTCTATCTTGCTGTCCTCGTGCCTCAGCCTCCTCCATCAGTGAGATTGCAGGTGTGTACCACCCTGTCTGGCTAGTTTTGGATCTTGACTGTCCCCGAAGGCCCACGTGTTGAAGGCGTGGTCCTTATCCCGTGGTGCTACTGGGAAGAAGTAGAATCTTTAAGAGGCGGGGCCTAGAGGGAATGAATTAGGTCACTGGGGTGGACCCTCAAAGGGCATTTTAAGAACATGTCTCCTTCTCTCCTTTTTCTTTGCTTCCTGGTGGCCAAAAGGCGAGTAGCTTGCTCTACCACAGGCTCCCTGCCATGAGACGCTTTCTTGCCACATGTCTAAAAGCAATGGATTTGCCCAACCATGGACTGAAACCTCCAAACTGTGAGCCAAAATAAACCTTTCTTACTTATCAGTTGATTATATCAAGTGTCTTGTTACAGTATCAGAAAGCTAACACACCCTTCACCAGCATTTCCTATGATATACATTCCTAATCTCTTATTAAAAATAAGAAAAATAGCCTCTTTCCCCCCCAAGAATAACTAATTACATTATTTTGTCACAGTAAAAACATTAGTAAGAAGAATTTTAATGTATTTTATAAATTTTTAAACTTTATATAGTAAATATATACACTTTTTATTTTGTGCCAGGAGCGCTTTACAACTAAGCTAAATCCCCAGTTGTTATTTTTATATTTTATTCTGACACAGCATCTTACTAAGTTGCTTAGGGCCTCACGAAGTTGCTGAGGCTGGCATTGAACTTGCAGTTTCTTGCTCAAGAATGGACAGATGTGATTTCCTAAAGGAAAATGATGGTGTGGTTTCTAGAAAAAGAAAAGGATTGTATCCTGGGCAGCAAAAGCAATACATCTACCCCAGCCAGAACGTGAATGGGCAGAATGCAGAAAATGTAACGAGAGCTCTGTCAACATTTTTATTGTTTAGTGGCTCAAAGGGAAGGAATTCATTGGTGTAAGTTCATATATGTATATATATTTGTGTGTGTGCGTGTTTTTTTTTTCTCCCAAAAGAATCAGATAGGAGCAATCAGGTTTTGCGAGTCCTGATTCCACAGAGACATTAATCACATATCACTGAACTCCAATCATCACGCTATAATCTGCCCTAAAGTTCAGAGCCTGACAATCTACAGTTTGCTTTGTACCAAAAAACCACAGCCCTGAACTTCATCAGATGTGGCCACTATGAGGTTCTGAAAAGGCCACGGTGGTTTTCAGGCCTATTTATGATGAACACTGAAGCCACGAGGGCTGATTGGCGTCTCCTGCACATTAGCTCTAGTGTGACTGTCATCACACCATGATGGACAGCCTGTTTGAAGGACCCACAACTCCCTTCCCACCTCCCTCTTAGACCTGACCTGTACGCACTGCCCCTGCTCCACCCCCCACTCTGCAGTCTGTGACAGGTTGGCAAGGCCAGCGCTTGCCACTCCTAGATTTGCTTTTTCTGCACTAGGAAGAAGCAGCCACTGACCACTGGTTTATCAAGGACAATGTGTCTCTTTGAAAGCCTAGCCATATGTTCTTGGGACAACATACTTGAGCTAAAACAACTATTCCCTCTTACAATCCCCACAGTAGGAAGGCCACCTCCACAAGGTCTGTTCTTTAACACAATCCTGTCTTCATAGGCTTCCTGGACAAATTTAAGACAGGATACTTGGTGCTTCCCCTGACCCCCAAGTGCTGGGGATGGAACCCAGGGCTTTACACATGCTAAGCAAATGCTCTCCTGCTGAGCTACAACCCCATCCTTAAGATACGATATTTGAATGAAATCTACTCACATATCCATCTGATTTTCCTTGACTGATTGAATCCCTTTCAGACCTTTTCTTGAAGATGGCCAATCTGGCCTGCTTAGACCCCTCCGTGGAGAGGACAGCTGCTATCCAGAGCCCCTTTCCCTCTCAACAGCTTCATCAGGAGAAGGCTCTCTCCCACCCCGAGCGACACTTGCCTCTCACCAACTCCCATCTCGTCCTAAGGCAGCCATGCAAGTTTGCGGAAACTTCTTACCTCTTTTGAGTGGTAAATCAGGGTTTTCACTTCCAAAGATTTCTTGGGAATCCCTTTATGGGTCTAGGCTCATCATCTTGTTTCAGGTCAGTAATGAGGCAGGCTCCCGGAATGTGTCTCTGGCTTTGGTATGAACAGTCCCAAACTCGTGTATTCACCTGACAAAGTCTAGACTCCAGAGTTTGTTAGAAGAAGGAGGAGGAGGAGGAAGAGGAGGAAGAGGAGGAAGAGGAGGAGGAAAAGTTATGATAGAAAGAATTTCAGGCCTGTAAAATGTGCCAAGGAGTGTTTATACAACAAGATTAAAATTTAAATAAAGAAATCCAAGAGCAAACTAAACTACAAGTCACAGTTCTAAGTGCGACCTCAGATAGACAGGTAAAAGGACAGGTTCCACTTGATTTGACGGTGCACACAGTTACTTGAGGTTCCCAAGTAGATGGCCATCCCTGCAGGATGTGGCCTTCAGGGACGAGTCTAAGTACCACGCTTATCCTGAGAAACTAAGTTCGAAGGCACGAGTGACTGCCCCAGCTCAGGCAGTGCCCTCATTTCAATGGCTAGGAGTCCTGCCATGACTGTGACCTCATTCAGGTCCAACTTACAGCTGCTTCATTGTGACCCTCTTGGCTCGGGCCACTACCCCAAAGCTATTTCCCATTCCACGAGACAACAAGCTCATCTGCGAATTTTTATCACATTCTTAGAGACATCTGTGATATGCCCTCCCCTCTCTCACGCAAATCTCAAAACTTCTGAAGCAAAGTGCGAACGTTAGTCAAGTTTTCCAGAGAACCAGGGACCTAATTTGCCCAGTGACTTTGGCTTATAGTGAGGGTTAAATAAAGTTGGAAAAGGAGGACAGAGGGACCATGGTAATATATTCAAATGATTCATTAAAAACAAATACAAGAAGAAGCTTATGTAGGAAGAACAATATGCAGTTTATAAGCAAAATCCATGCTTTATACATTTTATATAACAGTAATATAACACAGTCCTGTGTTAAGTAAATGTTAATTTTAAGGCAAATTGCTTTATAAGGTATATTTATGATTATAAAAACAAAACGGGTACTTTAAAACCTATAATCTAATATTAGATGCTGCAACTCTTTGGGTCCCGGCTGTTTTTATAATCAGGAACAAAAATGGGCAGATGGTATAAGCTGGCAGCCCAGAAATCCAGACAAATGCTGCCATCCAGACTCCAGACATTTCTTACCTGGACCACTTTAATTAGCTCCCAATTGGTCTCCCTGCCTCGTGGCTCTCTCTAATCTACCCTCTCCAGGGCTACAGGGCAATCTTTGTTGAAAATACTTCTATGGCTCCCTAGTGCCTTGTGAATAATGTCTACAATTTTAATGTCATTCCAGCTCTCTAAACCTGGTCCTAACATACCTTTCTAATTTCACGTCCCCACATGTCACCAGACACCGAATAATCCCCTCCATTAGAATCCAACTAAGACTCTTGTTTATGAAGTCATTGAACCATGGAGCACACCGCTCTAGAAATCCTCTTTACAGCAGGATTCTGTGAGGGAAGGCTGTCTTTTCCAAAGGGGGCTGTGCCTGTAGAAGTGTCCTTCCCCATTACTCTCCTTACAGCATGGATGTTTGTCCCATGGAGCCGTGGCGCTGGGTCCCCTCCCTTTGAAGCTGCTAAGGCTTGGAATCAGCCTGATCACCGAGTTTGGTGGAAGCAATGCTGTGTGCCTGTCAGGCAAGGTCAGAACAAGGACGGAGCTTCTATCTGGGTCTATGTCTTGGGATGCTCCTCCTGGATCCCAGCTACCATCTTTGAGGAAATTCAGGGCACATGGAGAAGCTGTATATGGGTATTCCAGCCTTCAAGGCCCTCAGCTGAAAGCCTGTGCCCATGGTCAGACATGTGGGTGAACAGGCCTTCTGATGAGTCCCTCCCACCCTTCAGCTTTCCACCAAAACCCTGGTCACTGCAGAGCAGAGACAAAACTGCTCCCTCTGGGTGTTTCCAAATTTCTGACCCGTAGGAACCATGGGCAATAATAAATGGCTTTAAATCATTAAGGTATAGAGTCATTTATTGAGCTAGAATAACAAACTGATGTGGGCTACTTACCTTGCTTCACTCCCCTCAGGTGACCACTCTTGGTTATCAGTCGATAGAATCCAATGATGCAGATATCTACATACAGGGCTTGTAAATTCAGGACATCCTTGGGAAACAAAGAACATTTGGATCTTTATGATGAACCCCGAGGGGTATACTTGTTCATGCATATTGCTCAGTACCTTAGTACCTCAGTACCTTAGTAGCTTAGTACCTCAGTTGTATATATAATGCATATTTCCATGTAATGGGTGACATATGCTGGTGGGTGGAGCTCTGGTCCCATCTTTGGTGAGCGGCATTAGTCAACCTGTCGTTGAGGAGAAAGGCACACTTGGGCATACCTGGATTTGGATTTGCATTTGAGCTTCTTCTGTACCATGTCCTAAGCTCTTCTTTTCCCAGGATGTTTGATGTAATACTTGAAACTTCTGTTGAAGATTCTTAATACCATTTCTCCTCTGTCTCTATTTCTGCAAAATGATAGCTTAACTTGGCCTCCAGTTCCAAAGTTTTGTCCATTGGTTTGAACGATGATTTGTTCCATTAAAGATCCGATTCATTCCTAAGACCTATGTAATAACTTCATATGGATGTTCCGATATTTTTAAAAAATCAAATTCCTAGGTCTGTTTTCTTTTCTTATACTGGGGATTGAACCCAGGGGTACTTAACCACTGAGTCACATCCTCAACAACCCCTCTCCCCCTTTTTTTTAAATTTTGAGACAGGGTCTTGCTAAGTTGCTGAGGGACTTGATAAGTTGCTGAGGCTGGCCTTGAACTTGTGATCCTCCTGCCTCAGCTTCCCAAGTCATTGGGATTACAGACATGTGCCACCATGCCTGGTTCCTAGGTTGATTTTGCAATGATTTTTTTTTCCCCAAAGGTACACATCCATGGTTTTTCTGTATCCCATGGGCAGTTAGAGCTCAGCTGTACTCTTGTTGGTCTTGCCTCCTCCTCTGGTTGAGGGTCCCTGGGGAACACATGGATATACCCACTCTGATGCCTGCTCAGAGCCTGCATTATTGCCAAGGATTAGGGAGACAGGAAAAGGAACATTTGAAAGTCCATGACCTTCGATGCAGACTTGAGAGCGGATATCTCTTCAGAGTCTGGATGCTCAGGAGAGTGGAGTCCTGGTTGTGTAGGGGGTGGGGACCTGGAGGAAGAAGATCTGAGAGTCATGCCTGTCTTCTCAAACACACTTTAATTATACTGAAATAAGGCTGTGCATCACCTGGGGGAGTTTTACTTTGTTTAGAGAGAAATCATGAACCCGACTGTGAAGATCTAACTTGGGAAGAACCAGCAGGGTCACCTGCTTGCCTCTTCTTCTTCCTGCCCATGTTCCTCAACCTCCATCCCCAGGAGAAGACAGCATCATCTGTCACCCAGTAGGAAATGGCTGCTCATTTTAGATTTCAGTCTTTTCTTTCAGGTTAATTGCTTTTTCAGGTTGAAAACTCCTTGCAGGATGGAGCAGCAGCTGAGAGCACTGGTTTAGGGGTCCCAAAAGCCCAAAGCCCAAAGCCCAATTTACTCACTCGCTGCACATGAGCAAGTTCCTGAACCTCTCTGGGCCTGACTCCTGCCTCTTCCACGAGGATCATCATCTCACCCTCACAAGGGCCTTGTGACTCAAGGCCCAGCAGGGAGCTGGGCATGTAGCAGGCTCTCTGTAAAGAGCAGTTGTTAGTACCTCTAGAATACCATGACCACAGCAGACGGTTCTTGTCGAGTTTCTCATTGTATAAACGAGGCAACTGAAAACTAGGAAGACGAGATGACTTACTCCAGGTGGTCTAATTAACTGGAGTAGAATCTGACTATTAAAACCAGGGTTTACTTAAACCCCAGAAATAATGTGGATGAGGTTGGGGAGATGAATTTATATTAGATGAGTCAAAAATTTGTAGGTCTTTTTAAAAATTTTTATTTTTTATTTTTGGTACCAAGGATTGAACCCAGGGCTGCTTACCCCTGAGCTACATCCCCAGTCCCTT